AAAACATTACAAAATTACATCAAGTGATCGGCAATGATTTTGGATCCTTCTGGTTTTTATTTCTATCTTTTTTCCCAACTGAAGATTTTGTGAAATAAACAATAAATCATTGAATATACCAATAAAAACGATTGGACATAAAACAAAAGATATTACTAAAACTCAACACATTTTCTTGACACTTTTTCTTGGCTCGGGCTGAGACTAAATACAATTTCATTAGTTAAGGCAGTACAAAAAATGCCTTTAATTTTGTATATACATTGTAATAAGCAAGTTAATCTTGTAAAAACATTTTCAAAACGCCTTTTTTAATCTTAAAAAAAAGACCAGAAATAAAAATATAAAACGCAAATCAATATACCGTATAAGTTGATTTCATGAATAATATTTTGTAAAATTACACAAAGTACAACATACACATGCACACACGCACGCACAAACACATACACATACACAGACACAGACACACAAATAACAGAAAAAATTAAAAGAATTTTTTGTTGTTGAGAATTATTCTACACCTTTAAAATATATTCTTGTAAATAAATCTAATTATTATTTCAGATATTGATACTACACTTACTACTGCTACTATTACTACTATTATTGTCATGTTTTTCTTTGTAAGTTAAAAGAAATGATATTTTTCTTGCTGATGTAAATAAAACACGTATCACATCTTAGATGATTTTTGCTGTATTTATTTAAATGATTTATTTTCCCCTTTCTTTTCAAATTAACTGAAAGCTTTAATGTGTGTAATGACTAACACAATCATTACTACAGAGGTAAGTCTTTCCCTTACTGCATGACTCATGCTTGTGGCCTTGTGCCAAAACTAAGTTATATTTGATAAATAAAGACTGTTCTTCTTATTTAATGAATTTAACTCTGTCTTATTTTCAATAAATGTAGTTATTATCTATATCATATATATATATATATATATATATATATATATATATATATATATATATAATATAATTATTTATTATGAAATAAATATGTTATAAATCACTACAAAAATAGCAATTTTGTTTCAACACCTCCGGTGTCCTATGAAGTGATCACTTGATAAGACACCGGAGGTGTTGAAATAAAATGGCTATTTGTGTAGTGATTTTATAACATTTATGTTATAGTTTTTAAATAAATAATTATATCTACTCTACTCTGTATTGAGCACTCTTTTAAGAATAGTAATTGTTGGTTATAGGAATTTATTCCGTATACACCAATCATATAGTTGTGTATATATATATATATATTATATATATATATATATTATTTTCAATAAATGTAGTTATTATTTGTTATATTACGTAATATCAGTCCTCCTCTATGGCAGTGAATGCTGGACAATCTCATTACAGATGAAGAAGAGACTTGATGCCACAGAAATGTGGTTCTACAGAAAGATGCTTAGAATACAATGGACCGAACACGTGAGTAACGACGAAAATTATAGAGACAATGGAAATGAATAGAACATTTCTACTTAACATCATAAAGAGACAGTTGGCAGTTTTAGGACACATACTAAGTGTCGATAACAAATGTGAATCACGTTTGTTACAGTTTTAATATTCTACGAGCTGATTTTTGTAACAATTTTTTTAAGCGGTGGAGAGTGTAGGTTATGTAACGGTCAATAGTGCGGCAAGTGAAATCGACAAGCCGAGTTCAAATTCGTGCATCGTCTGTTGTATTCACTTTCACGTAAATGCACTTGGTAAACTCATGAATTCGTCTATTCTTCCCCATTTCCCGAATTAAATAGCAGCGCCGGCTGGTTTATTTATCCTTTGGTGTCAATCATTCTAGGAGAAGGAAAACACCGAATTCCAAAAATCATCGAAAACAAAGGGAGGTCACTCGACTATCATTCCCAAGAATTCATGTTAATTGACGAATGAGAACCAAACAGAAGCTGTGAAAATCCATAATCACTTATATCCCGAAAGGACAGGATATTAAAACAAAATAATTGACCTAGCACCCGATGACGTTACAGTGTAGCCTAGTGCTTCTCAAGTTACCTGATGTGACGTACGGGCAGTTTTTTTCATTGTGCGAGGTATCGGCGAGCGAAGCTTTCCAATCCAGTATTGCTTCCCCACTATTTTTCTTTTCTTTTTTAAGATATGTCCTATTTCATGGTCATTTTGTGACTATTTGTACTAAACATGAAGTCATGATGCCTTATTCATTCTAAGGCCAGATATAACAAGTCTTCCCAGGGTACCAGGGACAGGTACTTATTTTTGCCACAGAATGATATAATAACGACCCTAGAAAATATTATTTGATCATTCGTACTATTATTAATTTATAGCAGAAAAATATCAGGAATATAACAAAAGTTGCATCATTTTTTTAAATTTATATTGCTTTTGTAGAAATGTATATCCATGAAAATGGCTTTTTGTATTCTGAGGTCTTGTTTCCACGCAGTCATACGTCACATCATAATGACGGTTTTGTCATGCGTGTTTCA